CAGCACCTTAATGATGGCATCCTTCCACTCCTGCGGCATCTCTCCCCCATTCCACACTTCGACGAAGATGGCACGGAGGCGCTCCAGTACAACTGGCTCGTCGTCGCCGTCGACCTTGAGCAGTTCGGCGGCAAGGAGGTCGGGACCAACCGCCTTCCAGTTCCCCAGGCCTTTCGTCGCCGCCTCAACCTCCTCGAGGTCTGGTACCGCCGCCAGGTGTCGGGTGGCGCGCGTCGCTGGTCGCTGCATCACCTGTTCGACAACGTCTGGGTTCAGAGTGGGGGACTTGGAGTTCAGGAGGGTATTGAAGAATCTCCGCCACCGCTTGAGGATGGCATCCTTGTTCCGGAGTAGCACGCCGTTCTCGTCTGTAACGAACTGCTGCCCCCCAGCTTGTCTCCCGCTGAGGCCCGTTGACCGCTTGAGGTGTTGGTACAGCCCCCGCATGTCGCGGTCCTGGTAGATCACTTCGAGCTCCGTCACGTATCTTTCCAGGTGGTCGTATATATATATATATATATATATATGNACGGCCTTCTGTGCCTACAGAAACCAAGTTTCGGCTCCCGAGGCCCCAAACTCGGCGAGATCGGCCCGACCATGACCACAGGATACACATACAACATATACATACATAGTCTACACAGGGAGTGCTGTGGATTTACCGCTTTACCAAAGATATGGCGGGGCGTCGGTGTTGCAACCTCCGCACACGCGCGCGCGCTGTATGTACACCATCCAGCTGTCAGGTAACACACGGCATCAAAAAAACTCTCCCCCGCACGTAGTACCGTCTCTGTCCTCGGGGGGGGGACTACGAAGCAGAACTCACTAGACCTCCGCCGGTCTATGTTTTTCGAGTTCTGATCCGCGACACAAACAGCGCTGAACGCTACATTTGCGGCAGCAACAACAGAGAGCAGGTCCGAAACCATGGACAGTGGAGAGTCTAATGGAGAGCCTTCGGCCGACTTGTTCAAGGCCACAGCTGCGCTGATACTTTTCTCGATAGCGCTGGGCGGAGGTCTCCTGCCTCAGCGTTTGCAAAATGTCGGCAAGAAGGTGGTGTCGTGCCTCAACATGGCAGCGGGCGGAGTCTTCTTTGCTTCCGCGATGGTGAGAGGCAGAGACACAGACACACAGACAGTGATGACTCGTGGCCCTCATCCAACGGATTCTTATAAGGGAGGGGGAAGCAGCTTCCTCTATCGGTCGATCTCGTCGTTTTGGTACGCAACAGCAAGCCCATAGGCCAGCCGTACGTAATCGCGTCGTGATCATACCCCGGTCCATATGTGTCAATGTGCCAACTGCTGTGGCGTCGAAGCATGGTGTCGTGGAGAGACTACGGCATGTAGAGTCTGACAACAGGGCGGATCATGCCGTGGCGGGTCATGCGGTGTGTATGGCGGTACAATCTCATGCATAGGTAAGGCGTGCTATACTACATTAGCAGTGCTACGTGGGAATTCAAACCTTCGCTACGGCTGCTGTGAAGTGTTGATTTTTTTTCTGCTATTGCTGCCTCCTTCATGGGGAAGGGAAGATCCCACATTCCCACACCATCTCCTTCAATCCCCTTGGAATTTCAAACTTCTGCCGTGTTGGAGCACCGGCGGCTTTGGATGCAAGGGCCAAGCTTGCCCGCTTTCCGACCTTGTCTTGCTTGTTATGCGTGCCCCCGACTTCCCTCGTTGTCGGCTGAGCACGTTGTGTGAACCATTGTGCAAATTTACCTTCGAGACGGGGAGGATATATCATGACGATACTTGGCAACCAAGACCATGTATCGTATATGACACAAGATAACACATCCCCTGGACAGATTTTCAAGGCTCGATTTCTTCACCACGAAGGAGATGCATCCACGAAACGGTACATTTTCCAAAGCTCTCGACGAGACGATTTCAAGGCCGCCGTTTTCGGCGCTGCGACTGTCCCTACAGTTGATAAATCGAGCTTCGAAAATAGGTCGAGGGGGTGTGTTATCTTGTGTCATTTACGGTATGTACGTACCGTCCTTTCCTCCAAGTCGACGTGGGTGTTTGAACTTTGAACTGCCGTTGTTCCTGTTTGTGAGTAGACGCCGTCGGATACAGGATGCGTCGACATGACACGATTGACACGTTGGAGACGAAGACAAAGAAATGTAGTACATACAGTATAACATGACAGAGCACCAGAGGTAACGCCGCCAGCAAAATAGAAGTACTGCTGTAGCCCTGCAGCACTACACGTGGTAACAGATTTCGCTGCCCAGAGACGCACGCTGTCTCCATCGACAAAGGACGAGGATATGTTTGTGGAACACTGCTGTACAGGACTCACGTCGCGTCAACGCTACGAGCTACCCGTACCGATGGGTGTCTCAATGATCTGCAACCGGCTCATTTCTTGCTCGTGTAAGCATGCGTGTGTGGCGTGGACAACATACGCACCAGACTAGTGGAAAACTCGACTGAGAGGAGACGAGGGGGGGGTAGGGAGGGAACAAACGATGCCGATAACTCTACATAGAGGTAGAGGCAGCGATACTGTATCATGCGTGTAAGTTGTATGCATGGAAACACGGGTGGCATAGGACTGCCTGTGTGCAGAGTGAAAGCTTACATTTTCTTCTCTTTTGTTTGTTGAGGTTCGCTGGTCTGTTCGACATACTCATAGTAAAAAATATATAAGAACCAACCCAACCTCTTCCCTCTACACCTTCCCAGCATAACATACAGATAGATACACAAGACGGCTACCAGACTGCTGTCTTGTTGACCCTGTTGCCCACGGGGGAGATATCACCGTGTGCTGTTCGAGAAATCGTGGAAAAACAGAACTCTTGCTGATGCTATGGATTCATTGCTAAATTATCTTAAGACTCTTTTCTTCGATGGAGATGGATTCGTTGGGTCATCCTGATGAAATTAAAAAATAAGCACGGCAGCTGTGTGAGCTGTTGAGCTTGGGGCATGTCACACCTCAGCTGGAAGCCAGCTGTGGGCTTGTTGTGCTCCCTGCTCTTTATTTCAGGTTGCAACACCCCTTCATGACCCTGCTGTGCTCTCAGGGGCCAGCCCACTCCGAAGGAATCACTTGTGGTTGATGTTTTACACGGAAGCAACACTTTCTATTCCTCCATTGCTACAGTTGTCCCAGGCTCTTCTCTGTTCCAGGATACATACAGCAGTAGAGATGAATTCGTTGTTTGCATACAAAGGAATAAAGCGCTGCGGCGGCTGGCGCGCCGTACTACAGTCCTACGCAGGTTCAGCGTGTGCCACCGGCTCTGACCTCACAGGTACATATCTATGCACAAATCTATGTAGATCCCGATACGTGACTTCTGTCTGCGAGATGCATGTACGTTCTGCGGAATCACTCCAACGTGGTCGAACAGTTGCAGAATTGCCAGTGCACCATCACATTACGTGAGGTAGTCTGGTGCGAGGATTGGGGACGTTGACACAAAGTATACGGTACACGCGTATACACACCCGGATGGCAGGGCGGGTGCGTGATATTTGCTGTAGTTATCCTCCTACCAGCCTCTTGGCTCTGAAATCGCGCTGCAGCGGGGCGTTGCGGTTGCGAAAAAACAGCTTCCAGTGAGATATGCATCGGGTACACCTCCTTGGGTTCAGGGTTAAGTCTATCCCGCGTATTTTTCTGTTGCCTGATACACGCCCACACAGCAGCAGTCCATGGATGGTCGAGCGTGTCGGTGGTGAATGTGCGGCTCCGAGTCTCGTCATAAAAGGGGGCTCGTCGAAAAAATGATGTTTTGAAATTTCGGAAGCCCGCGTAGCCTCTGAAACCGAAGTCTAAGACATTCTGGGAAACACCCCGCTCGTTGAGAAGCACACAGGAATTGTATTGGCAGTTGTTGCACACAATTATACATCTGAAAGCAGCTTTTCGAATTTTCCGGCGCTGAGTGTACCATAGGATCTACAACATTGTTCGGCGAAGCGGTTCGTGAAAATTAGACTCCAATAGACAAGAGTTTGGCTGCTGTCGTCGGCCTTTTCAAATGTTTGCTCCGGCCGTCTATCCCCTCCCCCCCCCCGTTGGTTTCCCCAAGCTAGCCAGCCGCCTGTTTCTTTTTTGTCGATCGGTCCGTCCATCGTCGACTATTGATTGTTTATTTTATTTGAAATTATTCATGCCTGCAGGTGCATATGTTGCCCGAGAGCAGCGAGACGCTGCACGACGCTTGGGGGGGCGAGTTTCCATGGGGCGGCTACTTCTGCGCCTTCGGGTTCCTTTTGGTGAGATGAGTGAGTGAATCGAGCAGCTTGCGTCGTCGCCCCGTTATGCATTAATTCCCCTCCCAACCACTCGGTCAACGGCACCCCGGGCTCCCGCTGTTGCCAAAGATGGATTTTACAGCTGGCTTGGTACCCCGGCGAAGCACCGAGCGATACATTTTTCTCAATGAATGACGGTTACAGTTTCCGGTACCCTGTTGTGCTTGCTATTGCGCCCTCTCCCTCCTCTTTTTGACGGCGGTGGTACTGCACGTTTCTCGATCCGTTTTCGAAACAGTCTTCCCTGACGCCGCCGAGAAAAACTGGTTGAATAATGATGTAGAGCGATAGACAGATTTGAAATTTTCCACGAGACTGTGCAAGACTGTGAAGAGTTCGTTGGGCTATAAGAAGACCTTGCACTGATTCTCAGCAGCTTTCGCGTCGTGCGTCGGGCCAGTCGTGAGACCTGTCCTGTCGAACAGCCCGGCAGAAGACGTCAGCTTCAACCAAATACGTACGCGGTGACAGCTGTTTTTTTTTCACGTTCAACCACATGCCAACAGCTTATTGACCGCACCACCGAACACGTCAAAACAACCAGCGGCGGACCAGCCGGCCTTGATCTTTCGAGATCTAAACAACAGATCCAGGTTCGAAGATCGCGAGGCCTGTCGCCCCCCCCCCCCCCCCCCCCCCCCCCCCCCCCCCCCCCCCCCCCCCCCCCCCCCCCCCCCCCCCCCCCCCCCCCCCCCCCCCCCCCCCCCCCCCCCC